TTTGGGTTTTTCTTGCTCTTGTTTTTCTAGGACTCTAAGAGTCATCGCTAGGTTGTTTATTAGAGCTTGCTCTGTTTTTCCTAATGTGGGCATTCAGTGCTATGAATTTTCCACATAGAACTGCTTTCATCGTGTCCTATAGATTCCTGTATGTTGTATTGGCATTTTCATTTATTTGTAAAAACTGTCTGATTTCTTCTTTAATTTCTTATGTGATCCATTGATTGTTCAGGAGAGTGTTGTTCAATTTCCATGTGTTTGTGAAGTTCCTATGGTTTCTTATGCTATTGATTTCCAGCTTTATTGCACTATGATCTGATAATATAGAGGGAATAACTTCAATTCTTTTGCATTTATTCAAACCTGTTTTGTGAGCTAGTATGTGATCTACCTTGGAGAATGACCCATGTTCAGCTGAAAAGAATGTATATTCTGATATTGTGGGGTGTAACACTATATAGACCTCTAATAGGTCGATGAGTTCAAAATCTTGGTTTAGTTCTAGTATTTCATTGTTGATTTTTTGCCTAGATGATCTGTCTATTTGTGATAATGGAGTATTTAGATCCCCTACTACAATTGTATTAGTGTTTATTTGGTTTTTCATGCTACTTAATATTTGTTTTGTATATTTGGTTGCATTTATATTTGGTGCATATATGTTTATGACTGTCATCTCTTCCCCCTAAATTGTTCCCTTTACAAGATTGTAGTGGCCTTCTTTGTCTCTCTTGATCAGTTTTGGTTTGAAATTTACTTTGTCTGCAAATAAGATTGCTACCCATGCTTTTTTTCTTGGCTCCTGTCTCATGGAGAATTGTTTTCCACTCCTTCATTTTCAGTCTATGGGCTTCTTTTTGCATTAGGTGTGTTTCTTGTATACAACATATTGTTGGATTTTGCCTCTTAATCCAGTCTGGCAGTCTATTTCTCTTGATTGGTGAATTGAGGCCATTTACATTGATGGTTATAACTGATATGTACTGACTTCTTATTGTCATATTATTGTCTTTTTGTTGACTCTTTTTAATTTTTTGCCCTCTCCTTTTAGTTTCTTGCCTTGACTATTTGGTTTGCTCTGCTGGGCCTCATGGTGTTGGGATCTTCATTGTCTTTTTCTAGGATATTGTTTAGAATTTGTTGTATTGCTGGTTTGGTAGTCATGAAGTTTCTCAGGTGTTCTTTGTCATGGAAGTATCTTATTTCCCCATCCATTTTGAGAGAGGGTTTTGCAGGATGCATCATTC